TATGTAAAGTGCATTAGGCAAACAATCCCTCTAATATGCAAAATGTACTTTGTAGTAGTAATATCCTAAACCGACATGTAAACACATCATACATCACACAAAAGCATTTGAATCATCACACAAATGCATTATGCAAACATACGGGCAATATATAAATGCATTGTACAAACATGCTAATGCATCATAAGCCACGCTAGTACACTAAGCCACCACACATCATGTAAACACATTAAATAATGCGCAAATGCATATCTTAATATACATGTATACATGCAAACATATAAATACATGGCAAGTAGGTCAACATATAGATGAAAGTATAAGTGTGTGTGTGAACATGCAAATATGACGTATACACCCCTTGTATTGCATATAAACTGCTACCATGTAAATATATCAAGTAAGATGTATTGAAAAGCATATACCTATATGGGCTCCGACGAGCGTGATGTATGCACACACATGATGTTTATGGATGTTGTGTGGGTCAAATGTGACCTTAAATTCAAGTCGGATCCTCCTTTTTAAAAAGATATTAGTTGACATAACTTGAACAACTGAACAAATACACGGTCATAGCATCGATCAGATTGTTTGTTTTATACGTTCATATTAGGTCATCAAGGTCTATTATAAGAAAGATTCACCACTAAAAAAATAAAACAAACACTAAACTTGATCCCCTATTGGCAAGAAAATAAAGTCGACAGGATTTGATTAATAAAATAAAATTACCCATAATCCCCGAAGATGACAGTATTAACAGAAAATCTCAACCAGATGAGATCCAAAACATTTAAAATGCCTTCTAAATTTCTATGAAATATAGGCATTTAAATTGACTTTAATGTCACCCTGATTATAACCGTGTTGAATGCAAATATCAACCAAAGGTTAATTCTCAAAAACCTATCAAAGATTCAAAAAAACTCTACATATATTAATAATATTAATATTTAAATTTGAAATTTAATCATCTAATAACTTAAAACAAAATTCATTCACTCTCTGCAGTAGTTTGTGGAGGTAGACAAGTTTGAAAATCACTTCAGTTCACAAAGAGCGAATGTCAAGTCGAGAATATCACTATGATTCATTCTCAAATCATCTTTTGTCAGTAAGAATGCGACGCATGTCCTCTAACCGGTGGTTTCACCATCAAATAACACCATAGGTAAATGGTTATGACAAGGACCCTCTGACCGGGCGGTTTTACATTCAATTTGATACTACTAAATTACTATCATGGTTAGAGCCTGTATGTTCCCAATGGCTTTAAACCCTTGATTAATAAATTAATAGGATATAATCGATAAAGAACAAAGCCTTTTATTAACTAAGGTGGACTCAAATATATCCCCTTAGGAAAAAATTCACCACAAGTCTACAAGGTACCCTTGAACAGATCAACTCATGGCTATCGACAATGATCCTTCAGTCAGGTTGGGTTGACTACCTCCTCTCACTAAATAAACTAGGAACAATGATGACCAGAAATGAGGGAACCATGGGATCTTGATCGGATTCATCATCAATTCCCACATCATTCGCTTTAAGTGCGTGGTGATAAATTTTAATTTTTAACATTTAAAATTGATGCTACTATACACTGGATACAACGTATCTATTCGACGACTACCCTTAATCGAAAGTTCTCTCTAGTTATTGGGAGGGGTAATTAATTATAGGGGCTTGCACCTATAGGAAACGTGAACTTAGATAATAAAAGTCCTCGCAAAATGAGGGCAAAGTCTCTAGGTAATATCTTATTCAAAACCCAATTTTCCTTCTGAAAATTTACCTTGAAACGTAAACTCGTTAAAACTCTCATCGACGCGACACAAAAAAGGAAAGGGAGGCGGAGAGACCGGGGAGCGAATTTTCGGAGCCCACAACCTGCCATTAAAAGATCAAGTCCCACAAGTCCCTATTTGCAATCCTCCATTTGCCATCCTTTCAATTAAATTTGTCAATTCCTCCAATCCTCCGCCACCTCTTATACTCCCCTACTGCCTCCTGAATTCTCCTCCATCTCCTACTTCCCTCAAAGAGTTCAAAAGCTTTAGTATAAGTGATGAATTACCAAGGGAAGGATGGTGATGCAGCTAAAATCTACCAGCTCATGATACCACTAGGCCTTCATTCACGATGGTTGCCCCACAGTGTTATTTTTCCCTGCACAACAACTTTTTCTACCCTTCATATTCTAAGATGTATTGAACAATGAAAAATGCCATATCTACCAATCAAGAATATACGATTGTGTTAGCAGCAAACATAGGAAAGGAATCTAGGGATGGAGGTGCTAGGGTGGACTAAGACTATAGGATTACCGTGCACAAAAGATAAAATTCAAAGGTGGAAGTTTCATGCTGCTTCACAAGTTTCACATGTTTTATAGTTCATAAAATCAAGCATAAGCTGTTGAATCTACTAGTACTTCTAAGCATAATATACCTAAAGTATATTTTGTTGGGAATTGTAGATCAAAAGGAACATAAGTTGTACTTGATATACTAATATCAAATCTATTTTTAATTCAGAGCTTAGGTTTCTAGATGAGGCTTAAATAAATTGGCATCACTACACCAGCATATTTTTCACTCATCCAATGTGGGATTAAACCTATTACTCCTAAGTGCCTTAATAATTTCCAATTTATGTGAGGGCACTCCACATTGACCATCACTCCCATTCAAACTGAAATATATTTTTAATTATTGAGCGTCATACACCAAGGGCACACTTGATCATACGGAGCTGATGTAGGAGTCACTTGATTTTAAAACATTGCTCTTGGGAGACTACCAAAGATCCACAGGAGCCACAAACCATATGAGCTACTTGATCCCAACCAGGCCATCAATCTGACACCACTTAATAAAGAGTGTAAATCAAAAGGCGACCAAATTTGGGCTTGATCTAGTAGTGCTCAAATCAAATTTCAACCCAAAAGTTTAAACCTAATGGGTGAGCCAATCACTTGATATCTCAACACAAACATATGCTAAAGCTATTTGATGGAGACTAAACCCAGTAATCTCGCCTACTTAACCCATATATATCAAATACCGATGTAATCACTTAATTGTTTTTGTTTGATTCAATTATATAATATGTAAAGACTAAAATATTGTACATAATGATAAAAAATTTAAAACTTTATATGCCTTTTTTATAGTCTCATTTCCTCACTTCATCCACATAGCTCAATTGCAATCTATATGTTGATCAGAACTGGCCAACATTTGTATTCAAGCAACCTTGGATTGAAATGTTAAATGCATACTTGCAATATTAGTAAGTCAAATGAACACAACACATAATCAAAGATGTAAGTGAATCAAACAAAAATTCACAAATAAGTACAAAAAACTTATGTATTGATATAATATCTAGTTGTAGCTAGTAAATCAGAATATAATTTGGCGTGCCAGCTAGGCCATAGTGTTACTTAATTGGATGACAAGACTTCTATATAGCCTTGTTTGACCTGACCGACCTCCAGGATACATTCCCATCTATCCCGTTCCAACCCCTTACCAAGGCATAAGCGTTGGCTTGTTTTCATCTGCATTTTCCTTCTTCTATCACAAATACGGAGTTGCTATTTGCAGGTTAAAGGGCACCAAAAGTCACTTAATCTAACTTTAACTATCCTTCTTACTCCTTATTCCAATATTTTCTTAAACTCAACCAGAAGAAAAACTATATGCCTATATCTCTGACACATTTATTGCTGACCTAATTCACAAAATTAAAAAATCATGCCCTTATACCACGGCAAAGAAATTGAATTGTTTTCATCTGAAGTTTCCTTCAGTTGTCTCAAATATTGAGCTGCTATAGCAGTGCAAAGAGCAACCAAGTTCACTGATATTATTTCTGTAAAATCCATTCCATCACTCAATCTCCACTTGCAAGATCAAGACCTCTCAATTAATTTCTCTTCAATTGCTCAATAGCAGTGATCAAATTAGGGATACCCAAGCTTTGTTGGTGCAGTAATTCTATGTTATTGTAAAGGTCTTAGGATCAAATCCCTCCAACATTAAATTTATGCTTCAATACTCAAACTCTCTCCCCAAAAAAAAAATCACACTAACATCCTTTAACTTGGCAGAATAGACTGGAAGAAAAGAACAAGATAAAAAAAAGAAAAAGAGAAAGAAGATCAGTTAGAAATTGATCCATGCCCTGTAAAATCCACCTTGGGCATATTAAGAAAAAACAGTAGAAACTAGACCCAAGAGAAAGGGACTCTACAGCTCTCAACATTAAGCTGCTAGAGAAGGACGGCAAGTTACTGGTAGACAAAACTAAGGCTCAACCTAAACTCTCCTTCATTTTTTGAGGGGAATGGTAACTTACAGATGTTGAGTGGACACTAAAATAAATTAGAGGTTAGTAATTATAGAAAAAACTAGTTACTATTCAAAATAATTATAAAATGTTTTAAGGTAGGAAATATATTAAATATCATGAATTATCTAGAACATTATTTTGAAGGTTTAATTATAATATAATATTATTTTTTAGGATCATAACTATTTTTTAATTAGATAAAAACAAATATCTATTTTTTTTAAATAGTTGTATCTACAGTATACAGAAAGTTGCATAGTGCAAGTTTAGCAGGTGCAAAGTTATTCTCATTTTTAGGGTACAAAAAGGAACATAGGGCAATCAAGTAATAGTTAGCGAAGGTCTGGGAAAAAAAATAACTCATAAGTCAACTTTTGTGTAAAACATCAGCAGTTATCAATCACTTTATGACTATATAAATAAAAATTGGGTGATAATCATATTGAAATTTTAACCAAAAGAAAGTAATGCATGAGTAAATAATTAAAGAATTCTAAACTGTACCGCAAACACTAAGTAAATAGCATGATCAACATAAAGATATTTGGAAATGAAAAAAAAAACACTTGCATATATACACAAATGCAGTGAGATCTAGTTGAAAGAAGTATATAGTTCACCGAAAATTGAACTACCTGCAATGCCTCCTGTTGGGGTGAAGAGGATAGAACTGTTGAAAGGAGCTCAACACTATTTCGCGTTACATCAAAAGCTTCCTTGGTTTGTTCAGTAGAAAAACTTTGCACATGTACTTCATTGTGATCTTGTTGGGTAACCCCAACAAATGACTCTGACTCTGAAGTTGAACGTGGTGGGGTAAAAATTGGAGCCAAACTCTCATCATCACGACCAGGAAAACGAATGCCTCTGGATTTTAAACTCTAGAAAAAAGATTAACCCCATCAGAAAATTTTATGCAGAACAAATGATAGATGATATAGGGAGAGGTTTGTTTGAATAAAAGATTGAAAATCAATCAAAATTACAAAATACCAACCAATAAACAAAGAATCTACTACCTAATTATTTTATAAATAAAATAAAATATGATATAGCATATAACAGAAGCTTCTATATGCTACATTACACAGTTGTACATCAAGACACAGAGTTAAGTTTGAAAATGTGAAATTGTAATGTATTCCATACTGCATTAAATATGATATAGCATATTAAGAAATATGGAGATGAGATTTCTTATGGAAATAATTGATGGTTGTTCGGATGCAAGTGATACCTTATATGTTTCTTCAAAAACTGGCAAGTAACGAAGCTCTTGTCCAGATTCTCCCCATGCCTCTATCAAAACAAGAGCCTTGTTTCTGTTGTTCACTATTGTCTGGGGATCATCAATCAGTTTTACCATCTCATCCAGCACTCTTTCAGCAGCAACTTCTGAGAATGCTTTTTCACAATTCTTCACACACGTCTCAAGAAGGACAAGAGCAAGATATTGGACTCTGGGATTCTTCGTCATTATCCGATTCTTAATGCTTCGAATCAATTCAACACTGTTAACCTTCTCACTATTCATCATGTCACAAATCTCAAGATTGATAGACCAGTCAGGGCCTTCCAAAGTCTCTGATGTTGCTTCTTCAACAATCTTATCAGTAGGGTTCTGACCTTGGAAGAACTCCTTCATCTTATAGCTCATGGAGCTCATGCTCGCTGTCATCTTCCTCCCCACTTCAGAACCACTTATCTTCAGACGCTCACCAAAAGCGCTAACCTTATCCATTAGATTGTCACCCATTTTCAAGAAAATTTTTTAGAAAATAGACCAAACGAATGCTCTCGTTCCTAGGAAACCCTTTGCCAATAGGGTCTCCAAGAATAAATTTGGATCAATAGACTTCAAGATTCAGGCTGCGTACATAGAAAATAAGGAATAAGTAAATATGAACACTGTAACCATCCCTGGTAAGACGATGCAGCTAACCAATAGAAATCAAAGTACAGTAAGCAACAAACAAAATCGAAGTACAGCAAGAAACAAACATATGCATTTCTCAGGGGTTTCCAAAAAATACTTGTAACAAATGAAAACATAAAAGGAAATTTACGGTCGCCCTTGCACATTCATTAAGAGGATTAGGCTGATTCAATGTTAAAACAAACACCATCATTGATATAAGAGAGGACATGGAAACTATGATGTCTGATCCGGATGGGTATACAATAAAACACAGGATAACAGGTTCGAAAGATCATTTTAAACAAATATAAATAGGACGTGGATGAATCTGAGTACAACAAATACGATCTATACATAAAAAAACCAAAATTTCAAACTATAATTACTAAATATAATTATTAAAGATAACAAATAAGTATTTGCACTAAAGCTCAATATAGTAGATTGCACTCTTTAAACAACAGAACATAGCACAGCTCAATATTATTAACATCAAATCATAATGTTATTTCGGGCAGTGAAAAAAACAAGAGCAAGATCACTAACAAATGCAAGTATAACAGGACAACAGTCATAACAAATGCGATTTCCAAAAGGCATAAGAGCCTCGCAAAATCAAATACGCAGATAGATAATCAAAACATTAGGGTTTCAATCAAGTCGAGTATTTTTATGAATTTGCTAAGCCGAATGATCTAATAGTGAAAAAAGAAAAGCCAATTACATCAACGAGCATGCTTCCAATATTGATTCAGGTGAAGCCTAGCGTATTCTCATATTGATATAAAATTTCCTGAGTAATCAATTCATAATAATAACACTAAATCAACAACCGCGAATCTAAAATAGCCAGGCATCAATTTGAAGAGCAAGAAATGGGAAGTGGGAAACGTTGGCTAACCTGTAAAATACGATTTATGTTTCTTCTTCTTTGAGTTCTCCAATTATTCTTTTAGCAGAGAAACAGAGATCCAGGGATGAAGCGGTGGAACAGAAAATGAAAAAGATGGCGGCGAGACGCGGAATGAAGAGACGAGTTGGCCGAGATGGTAAGGAAAGTGTCGAGAAGAGGACCGATTGAGGTATTGGAAAATCGTCAAAGCCCAATGCTCGGAATGAACTTAAAGTTCTGTGAGACTGACTTAGTCCCTGCATTCGGTCAAGGAGTCGGTGCGCCGTGCGCATCGCGCCTAGCTGGCCATAACCTGCACCGCTCGCAAGCAGTTGGGCAGAATCTTTTTTATTTTTTATTTTTTTTTAATTAGTTTATTAGAAAGTATTGTGCTTCATGGCTCTTCTTTAACAATTTCATCATAATTTTATTTTTAGTGTTTAACTGTTATTGTAGAATCATATTCATCTAGATAAATTAATCAAATTATTATAATGATTTTAATCGAGCTTAAAGTTTATGATTACATGTAACTCAAACCTCGTCAAGTTCGAGGTTATTATGAGCTTTGAGTCGTCTATTTCTAAATCTCATCAAATTGCCCAATAGGTAATTCTCACTCGACCCTCAATATTGAGCTATTGAACTAACATAACTGGCTCATGTAGTCACTCAACTATTAAGATCATTCATCTAAAAGAACTCGTTAATTTTGCCAAAGTACTCGATAACCAATTTTATGGTTTTCTCACCAATGATACTTGTCCTTAATTTGGAACTCATAATCAATTACAATTATGTCTGCCTAGCTATACAATTGCATCAAGTTCACATTTTAAAAATTTTCATCTAATTAAATTTTGTAGATAATTCTATAACTTCGATGATTTTCTTTGTTTATAAATAAGGGGTCATTGGTTCACACATACATCTAGAATCTCTCATTCAAAATTTTACATAAAACAACACTTAAATTATTGTCACACTCCAGGATCTATATTAGAAGAATTGCATTTGTTTTTCATTTTAATAATTAACTAGAGCTTATCAATAAACAACGTAAAGAAATATGATTGCATTTTTTCATGTCCAGAACCTCATATCATAGTGTCACAACCCGGCCCGGTTAGCTCGCAAGTGTGAGGCGGGAACAGAGGTCGGACGGTAAAAGAGACAAGTTATCATATCATAACATTAAATCATCCAACAAAAATTTATATCTTTACTATAAAAATGAAAGAGCCACTAATGCAAATCGAAATAAAATTTTCGTTTTCATTGATCATTAAAAGAGAAGCATAATACTAAGTTAAGTGTGGCAGAGATGAGAATGCTCAGGTGGATGAGTGGCTTTACCCTTAGAGATAGGATACGAAATGAGCATATACGTGAAAAGGTTGGAGTAGCTCCAGTAGAAGATAAAATTAGAGAGAGTCGCCTTAGATGGTTTGGTCACATAAAACGACGGCCTTTCGATGACCCGGTTAGGAGAGTAGAGGTATTAGATTTGACTTATGTTAAGAAAGGTAGGGGTAGACCTAAAAAGACTTGGTTAGAAAATATTAGGAATGACCTTTCTTTATTAGGTTTAAATGAGAATTTGACTTTTAATAGAACACAATGGAGAAAAAGGATTCATGTAGCCGACCCCACGTAGTGGGATAAAGGCTTGATGTTGTTGTTGTTGTTGTATTGATCATTCAAAAGGGATAAGTACATAAAGAGTTCTTCCAAAAGAATGGATCCAAAACACATCTAACTCTCTCAAAGTCTATACATACAATCATCTATCAACAAAATAACAAAACTTAAAAGAACCTGTCGCCCGTCATTTCCCTACGACGGTAAATGCGCGGTGGTCGGTCTGTCATTTTCTATTCGCAGGATCTCCTGAAAAATTCTCCACAACAAGGGTGAGTCATAACTCAATAGGTAAATGCTTTTTCAATTAAATTTAGAGAAAACAAGGCGAGGGAAATAACATGTATGTCGATGCTTTTTGTATGAACATTAAACAAATCATAAGAATGTAGTAGCTTCCTTTAAGTCCACTATTAAGCCTCTTTCTTTAATTAACCTTGCAACCGATCACTTAACTCAATACATGAATTGTTTTCATGAACCATAAAGTGTTGCATATGCATATAATATAACGTATATCTTATAATCACCCGTCTCGGAAGTATCTTTTGTACTGATCACGTACATTTTGTTTGGCCAATCCTTTTCCATTTGGTTCATAAGAACCACCTTTACCATTTGGTTCATAAGAACCACAATTACCAATGCTCGAAAGAGCATCCCTTTACCAAAGATACCTCCGCATCAACAAGCACATGCATTCATTCTTTAATTACTCATAAGGAGATTCTTATTCATGCATATGGTCAACTATCTCCTAATGTGCTATATAGTTTCATGATAGCAAGAAGAAAGAAAAGAGCCAAATGCAATCATTAGAAAGAACAAATGCATTAAATACTATTACATAAAAGATGAACTTGCAATGTGAGTTAGCGCATGAGTAAAGGCTTATGTATGGTAACAAGTATAAGCTCAAATGTCTCTAAACCATTTCCAAATGAGTTCTTAACAATTAAGCAATCATAGAAACATAAGCATGATACTTAAAGCATAAAAGAATATAAAAGCAATGTGATTGGAAAAACGCTAGAGCTTGCATAATAATGTAAAACATGCTATGAGTGAAAGAAATGGAATTTTTCTTCTAAATTTAAAGGAGACACATTTACCTACCTCAACACAACGAGCTTCGCCTACTATCCTTATGAACTTCTCCTTTCCACTCGTTCAACACCTAAAAGAAATACATGCATCAAATAAAGAAGCACTAAACCCTCATAACTTTTCTAACC